TTGCTGTCTCTCTTACCAATGCTTCCCCCTCCCTAGCTCTATCCCTTCCTCCCTCTAAAAAATCAACAAAATTAACCCCAGCCCAAATTCAATTTTGTTAGCTTGGCATGCAAAGCCTTTGTGATTTAGCCCCTCCCTTCTCTGTGGCTTCTTCTCATACTCCCCACTTCCATCCTTGATAGAGCCATGCCAGAACCTTCGGCTCCACCTCTTTCCTCCATGGGGGCCTCCGAGCCTTGGACTGGCAGGATTTCCTTCTTTATGTGGCTGCGTGGTATTTATTCCCCAGACTCAGCCCAGGCCTCTCCTCCAGAAGATGGAGGGGGTGGGGTGGGTTGGAGAGTTTGAATCCCCCAGGGTGGGTGAGGTGCCCCTGCTTCGGCTCCCCAGGGCACTCATGCACCTCACAGCCTACTTACTCGCTGCCTCCAGCCTCTCCCCCCTCCAGGGAGCTCTGGTTCAGAGAAGGGGCTCCCTTTTCAGCCCTGCTCTTCACACCTGGCAGAACCCTTGGGTCACCCAGGGAGCTTTAAAATGCTGATGCCTGTGTTCTCATCTGCAGGGAACTTGATTTAATTGGTCTGGGAGGTGGCCTGGGCATGGGGTTGGGAGCATGGGTTGAAAAGTTCCCCAGGTGGGTCTAATGTCGAGCAACACCGTCATTCACAGCACGTGACTCGGGATTGCCCCAGCAACTCGCAAGAACTGCCCTCCAGGCCCCTGTTGGGGAGTGTGGCTTTGAACTCACAACCCACTGTACTTGCCAAAAGTTGTGTTGAAAGAAAACCTATTCATCCATGTAGCTGGATTAGCTGTGCCCACCCAGCCCTCCAGGGCCCACTAGCCTTCCAGGGTCCATTGGGAGAGATCACCTGTTACAGAGATGCCTGTCTGAGCCCAAAACCCACGGAGCAGGGCCTGGGACTCCGCACAATACACAAGCTGCTGCGCGCTTCTGATGCACCGTGCTGTGCCTCACCTCAAAATCTCCCAAAACGGGGCCGGCCCGAAAGCTCCCAATGACTTGCAAAGCCAGGCAGGGAAGTTAACAGCAAAAAGGGCTTTGGGGAGCCATGGGGGAATGACTGGAAAAGGACTCTGCTCTGGCCAGTTCTTGTTCTTGGGGCCTCATGTTGTCAAATCCGTTTTTAAAAACACACACCACCCAAATCTGGATTTTTTTTACGTGAAATCTGTTTAAGGTCGACAACTAATTCAAACTATTTAAATACACTTTTCAGGTCAAACGGAGCTTGCCTGAGGACTGCGTTTAGCTAGTGGACTGCCAGTTCGCTACACGTGCTCCCCGTAAACCCTGCGTGTGGAGAAGCTGGAGAGCAGCGCACTTGTCCTCCGGGTCACTCTCTTCTGAGCGGCTTCTCTGCTTTGGGACGTGAGCCACGCGGAGGGGAGCACAGGAAACTGCCCGAGGCTCCTGCTGTACGTGCACGGAGCATGCTGTTTGGGGACACTGCTCCTTAGGCTCCACAGTGCCAGCTCCTGTGCCAGCTCACCAGGGAAGGCCCTGGTCTCAGGGCCTACGAGAGTCATGTTTCGCCTCAGCAACGGGTTTGTCAGTGTCTTATGGACCCTGAACCGCATGGGATTGGGCTTTGCCTGCTGGAAAGCTCAGAGGACAATCTGGCTCCGTCACATGTAGGACCTCACGGTCTGTACTTTTGTACCTATTTCATTCCTGGCTTCTTCTGACCTTTCCAACCTCTATTTTCCATCTGTCACCATCTCATGACCACATTTTCACATCTTAATTCTCTTGTATATCAAGTAAAGAAGTTAATTGCTTTCTGAAATAAGGCAGGCTATAAATAAGCTCATACAAAATAGCAAGTGCTCAAAAAGAGTTTGTTGAATGACTAACTACTTGAATGATTCATCTTGTGGTCCCCCTCAGGGCCTGCACAGAGCAGGTGTTCAGGAAATGTGGGGCAGAGGTTGGAGTGGAAAGTGACAGTTTAGCGATGGGGAGACAATAGCCCTTCATTTCCTAGCGACCAGGGCCCTAGCCAATTGAAGCTCTCTTAGCGTCAGTTTCCTCATCTGCAAAATGGGGATCATCTTGACACCTACCTTATCAGAGTTTTGGGGGGATTCAATGAGGTTATGGATATAAAGCGTCTGGTACATAACAGGCACTCAATAAATGGCAGCTGCGACGCTTACTAACAACACCCTCGTATATGATGTCATTATTTAACAGCCTAATTTTAATAAGGATTCTCTCACTCGGCTCAGGTCCGCTAGAGTCTGACAAATAAGTCACGTGTACCCACCGGGGGAATAAAACAGACATGCACCTCACTCAGCCCCAGGTCTGCTTACCACGCGCAGGTCGGGTCACCCTTGGTTGCAATGCTGACTGCAGGAGCTTCTTGTCTGAGTCCAGGAGTCTGCAGCTGCCCCTTCACTCTCTTCCCAGCATGCACAGGTGCTGAAGGCCCTGTCCTGCTTCCCTAGCCTCAGCTCTCCAGCTCTCACCTTGTACCTCCCTGCGCTGGGAGCCTCTGGCAGTTTCCTCCAATCTTTCCAGCACCTTTCCTAACCCTGCCTGGGATCACTTAAGGGAGCAAACTCATGCTGAGTGGTCACGCCCTCACTGATGGGTGCACTCATGCTCCAGGAAGTTTGCACCTGGGGCATTCAGGAGGTGCCCTCGGAGGGCTGAAGGTCATGTCTGGGGGCAGTTCTCTGAGGGTGGGACACCCGTGTGACAGTCAGGAATGGAACCCTCTAATACCTGTACAGGGAAGGCGATGCATCATAAATTCTTGCTGTGGAAAGTGGGTGATGCTGATTTTATGGTTGGCCTAAGGGCAGAAAATTTATTCAGAGGGGTCCCCATTGTATAGGGCAGAGATTCCCCAAGCGTGGTCCCCACCGACAGCATCAGTACCAACTGGGAATGTGGGATGGGTGCAAATTCTGGGCCCCACCCCAGAACTACTAAGTCAAAAAACTGGGGGTGGAGTGGGAGTGGCACCCTGTGTTTTAGCAGGCTTTCAGGGTGATACGGATGCTGGCCATCTGCAGACCACTGGAGTCGTTCTGAGTCTCGGCCACCTCACCTGCAAATAAGGACAACGCTGTGGCTTCAGTAAGGAAAATCTCACACAGGGTTGGTGCTCAAAAATCAATTTTTATGGGTCAGCTATGACCCGATACTGTTCTGTGGTCCCCACAGAGCCAGTCGTGGACCCGAAGCTGAGGGAAATCTGATTAGAAAGGTTGCGTGTTCACCCCCAGTGATGGGGAACTCAGTGTATGCCTGACAGACCGAATTCACACTGGCAACCTGTCCGTCCCTTCCACCCCTTTCTTCGACCCCAGGTAGGAAGACAGCAAGCATGTTTCCAGTTCTCCCTGGTGGCCCTGCAGGGACCTTCCCAGGCTCAGGTCCTTTATCTCCAGATGGCCATTCATGTCCCAGGCCTGACCCCCATGCCCTCCCCATCCTGGTCAGAGTCCACCTCAATATTCAGGGCTGGAGTAGCGGCCAGGCCTCCAGGGTTGTGTGTTCAGTGCAGAGGCAACAATTCTGCCACCACCTTCTTCTGAACCCTCTGCCTTTGGGGGCCCATCCCAAGGTCCTGCCACCCGAAGCTGGTGGCCACCATGGTCAATCTGTCAGCCCTGCTCAGGTCATGCCAGACCCAGCCTATCCCTGTGCCTGGGGATCGTGGCACCTCCGGAGTCTGGGCTGGTGCTCCCTCAGGGCGCAGGTGCGGCTTCTCGTCCCTGCTGCCTAAGCACTTGTCTCCACGATGCACTTGAGGAACATGGTGTCGTCCTTCACGTAGGCGTGCTTGGGCGACTGCAGCCTGCTGAGCGGGAAGAAGAGCGGGCAGCCGCTGGCCACGTTGGTTTCACTCTGGGGCCGCTGGAAGGACACTGAGCTCAGATCGGGCCGGAAGGCGTCAATGGCGTGCTCACGGTTGTTCTGGTCCAGGAGCATGAAGGTGACCTGTGGGCCAGGGCAGGTGGGAGGTCAGGCCCTGGGGAGTGCACCCAGGGGCTCAGGGCTGGTGTGTGTCTGCTACCTGTGCAGCCCCTCGGACCCTGAACTCAGGCTGGTTAGGGGCCCCCAGGAATGGAAGCACCTGGTAATCTGAGCAGCCTTTGGGGGTTGTCCTATAATTAGGGATCTGATGGTCTATCCAACTGGAAGAGGTAGTTCAGATGCCACAGTCAATTTGTTTGGCTGTTGGGGCTATAGTGGGACTGAGCCCTGAAAAGAAGGTGGGACTCGTAACCTGTAATATCCCTTCCCGCTCAGAGTTGTGTGATGGTCAACTAGGCCGGAACCTCCTGGGCAAGGCAGGGGTGGGGAGAACAGACAGGCCATCTACCCAGGGGCTGTCAGTCAATGCCCAGAAATGGGAACTGAGCTTCTGTCTGCAAGGGGCAGATGTGTGTACTCCAAGAGGCTGATGATCTCAGTGACACAACCCACTTCCCTGGCACATGGCACTGGAATGCCCATCAGTACACAGAGTGTCTTCCATCATCCACCTCAGCGGTTCTCAAACTTGGCTACACCTAGAATCCCCTGGGAAGGTTTTTAACATCCTGATGCTCAAGCCTCGCCATTTACTGTAGTGAGACCCAGTCGCTGGTACTTTTTAAATCTCTCGGCAGGTGTGGGAGCCACTGACCTGCTGAGTCATATTCAGACCAGCATGGCACTCCTGCCCTTTTAAACATTTTTAATAGACTTTATTTTTTTAGAGCAGCTTTAATTGCATTGCAAAACTGAATGGAAAATACAGAGATTTCCCATATACCTCCTGCTCCCACCCAATCTCCCACACTATCAATACCCATATTATAGTGGGACATGTGTTACAATCAATTGACACACATTCTTATCACCCCAAATCCATAGTTTACCTCAGGGTTCACTCTTGGTGTTATACATTCTATGAGTTTGGACAAATGTATAACATTTTCTCATTACAGTATCATACAGAGTAGTTTCACTGCCCTAAAAATCCTCTGTGCTCTGCCTATTCATCCCTCCACCCCCGCCCCCACCCCATCCTCTGACAACCATTCATCTTTTTACTGTCTCCATAGTTTTGTCTCCTCCACGATGTCCTATAGGTGGAAGCATACGGTATGTAGCCTTTTCAGATTGGCTTATTTCACTCAGCAGTATGCACTCAGCAGTTCCTCCCTGGCTTTTCTTGGCCTGATAGCTCATTACTTTTTGGTGCTGAGTAACAGTCCACTGTCTGAAGGTGCCATGGTTTGTTTATCCTGTACCTACTGAAGGACATCTTGGTGACTTCCAACTTTGGCAGTTATGAATAAAGCGGCTATAAAATCTATGTGTAGGTTTTTATGTGAGCATAACTTTTCAGCTTCTTTAGGTTAATACCAAGGAGTGTGATTGCCAGATCGTATAGTAAGATTATGTTTGGTTTTGTAAGAAACTGTCTGACTGTCTTCTAAAGCAGCTGCACCATTTTGCATTCCCACCAGCAATGAATGAGAGTTCCTGTTCTCCACATCCTCGCCAGCACTTGGTGTGGCCGGTGTTTTGGATTTTGGCTATTCTGACAGGTGTGCAGTGGCGTCTGCCTCCCTCCCCTTTTCTGAAAATGCTGCCAGTTCAGGCTGGCCCACAGCACCTCCTCCGGGCAGTTTCCTTACTCACCCTGCCAGGTGAATTTCATTTCTACGTGCCTCCCAGGATGTTGGTCCAGCCATTTTTGCCCCTGGACTCATGATGCTGGAGGAAGCCTTGGCTACTAGATGTGAACTCAAGCTTTTGTTTTATGAAAGGGGGAGCTGATAATATAGAGAGGGCAAGGGACTTGCCCAGGTCACCACTGGCCAGTTCATGGCTAAACCAGGACCGGGACCAGGACTCAGGCTTCCCCCACCCCTGCAGCACGCGCCCTCCCCCTCCCCCCAATGTTCCCCTTAGTCTGTACCTTGTTCCGGAAAGGCCACGGCAGCAGAGCATCGTACTCCCCTTTCATGATCACGATGAAGAGCGACAGATGGGTCCTCTTTCCCGTCCCATCACCATTCAAGTAGAGCCTCAGGCACAACTTGTAGCCGTACTTGGCAGTGTAGAAAGCTGCAATGTGGAAGCCAGAGTCAGCACAGAGGCAGCTGGAGAATGCTAGCTTGGCAAATGAGGAAACTGGGACCAGCGGTTAGGCATGCCCACGATCAGGGGTTCAAAACTAAGAAACCTGGGGTTGGAGCCCAGCATCTTCTCGATTACATACAGTCCAAGAGGACCCAGAACTTGGCGCTCATCTAGCCTAGTGGCAGTCAACAGGTTGCTAGGCCCCACCCCGGAGTTTTGGACTCAGTAGTGCTGGGTGAGGACTGAGAACCGGCATGTCCAACAGGGGACAGTGATGCTGTTGCCCAGGACCACACTTTGGGTTTAACCGACCTGCATTTTGCAGTCGGGAAACCGAACCCAGCGAGGGGAAGTGTCTGGCCTCGCAGACACTGGGGGCAGAGCCAGCATTAGGGGCCAGGCCTCCTGTATCCCAACACAGACTTCTTTCTGCTGCCCCAGGCCAAGTGGCGGGGCTCCTGGAGGGGAGGAAGATTGGGCCCTCAGTCTGCCAGGCACCCTTGGTAATGTCACCCCTGGTGCCTCAGCACAGGGGCCTCTGGACTCTCTGCAGCTGAAAGGACCACCCAGTATGGCTTCTCGTGGCCGTCACCACAAGGGCCCCTCTGGGAGGGGTTGATTGGGGACAGGGGGTGGGGGGGCAAGCAGGAAGGGGCGGAGGAGGGACAGACCAACAGTCTGACTCATCCTGCCCCTTACGTTTTGGTGAAACAGGAAGCCAGAGACACTGCTTGCTTTGTCCCTCTTTGGAAAGGAGAGGAGAAAAAGCCTCGTGTTGGAGGTGAGGCCACCCCGTGAAGGGGGCTGCCGCTGCTCCTGAGGAAACAGGCCTGGCTTTGGGACCCTGCCCTGCTCTGGGGTATGGAGCAACCTCCCATGCCTCTCTCCATCCCAGCCCTGTAGGTCTTGGTGCATCAGAGGAGCAGATGGACAGGAAAGGGATGAAGCTGGGGCAAAGGTGAGAGGTCATTCAAGTTGTCACCTGCAGAAATCTTCCTTAATGACCCCCCACCTCGTCTATGTAGACACGTGTGAATGAGGAGAGGGGAAGAGCACATAGGTCTGAGCATTCTATGCAAAAATACACACATGCGTTAAAAACAGAAATCAACTGAGTAAGGGAACATATGCCAAGTAACTACTTTATGCAAGATACTGTGCCAAGCTCTGGGGCCCCAGAAACGAGTAAGAACTGCCCGGTTTACACAATATTTCCTAACACGCTACCCGCAATCATACACTTAGTCCTCCACGTGTCTTACTTCAGACCCTGGCTCTCTGAGGGCGGGGGTCCCACAGTATTCGCCTGTGAGAACTGTCCTCTCATTTGCACAAGCTTTGGTTCACGGCACACTGTCTTTCACACCTGACATCCATTCGAAGTCAATAACAATTTTACTCCTGTCTGCAGAGTGTGACTAGCACTTGGGGAGGTGGAAGGCGTGGCAGTTCAAATAGCCCCTGTTTTATGTGGCTGAGCCAGGCACGACCTCCTCCGTGGTCCCAGCACGGTAGGTGGCCTGAAGGGACCCGGTCTAACTGGACAGAGTCACAGAGCTGGCTGCTCCCCATGCTGGTTTCTGAGCCCAGTGGGCCTCTGTGCCCCTGGGAGGTGTTACCTGGAGAGAAGAGGCTGACGGTCCTGCCGCAGGCCGACTCGTGGCACCGCCGGGTGACGTTGGTGATCTTCCACAGGAAGGTGCCATCGAAGGAGGCCTCCTCCATGAGGTGCAGGCTCTGCTCCAGCTTGCCCAGGGCCTGGTCTTTCTGGGCCAGTGTCTGATGCAAATCCGCCACCTGTGGGGAAGCATCACTTAGTCTTCTGCTCATGACCTCACATAGCCCTTCCTCTGGGAAGCAGTCAACCACTGCCCTCGCGCAGCTGGTCTCTCTCTCTCTCATCTATGTTCTTATGGAGTCCTCAGCAGTTTTATGAGATTCATTTTTCTATCTTTCCTACCAGACAGATGTCTTTCTTCCCTACCAAGGGCTGGGCCCATGCTCACTTTTTCTCTCTGTGCCTGCCTTACATCTAAGAGTAGAGCCAGAAAGTCTGTTGATGAACTGAAGACGCAGTTGCTGCCCTCTGGGAGCCCACCTTCTAACTGGGGCAAGAGTTACAGAAATAAAAGCTTTACTCGGTCACTCAAATCCAGTGCTTGGCTCTTCTGGTTGGTTCCCTATTCACAGTTGAAAGAATACAAATTTATTCCTGGGTGTGCTCACGTAGGGCAGTCAGGAGTGGAAGTGAGTGTTCTTAAATTGAATTCCTAACTTTATGGATTAGAATGTTGAAGTTTCCTAAGAGGGAGAGTGACGTGCTCAGACCTACACAGCAAGTTCATGGTGGAGCTGGAACTAAAATCCAGGCCTACATCAACATGAGACTGTGATGTCAAGTTGCAAAAAACCCCCACACAAACTTGTTATATTAAGAAAAGTATAAGCTCTGGAACAAAGGAGGGGATGACAGGCCTGCTAAACCAAGAACTGTCAGAGAAGTGGATTATCTGGAACGGTCTGGGACCACCATTCTGACTGTGTGGAATCCTTCAGAGGCTGAGCCAGAGCATCTGAGAGCAGCATGAAACAACGTGCTGTGATGAAGGAGTGAAGGCCCTGGGCGTTTAGCCTAAAGAAGGAAGTACTCAGGTAGGACATAATCACTGACTGCTCATCTCTGAAGGGCTGCCATAGAGTCTGGAGGGCAGATTTGTTTTGTGTATCCTAAGGGGCAGGGCCAGGAACAATGCAGGCAAGACACAAAGAAGCTGATTTCAATTTAGTTTAAGGAAGAACTTTCTAATAGCAATGGAATGAATAGCTTAGAAAGAGAGTATCCTACCATGAGAGAAATTCAAGCAGAGGAAATGAACCATTGGATGATGGGATTGATCTCTACTATAACTTCTAAGTGCTCCACCTAGAGGCTTTGAGACACAGGAGAGATACTTTTGATGGGTGAGTGACTGCTGTGAGCAGGGAGAAGAAAGTTAAGAGGAAAGCTGATTCACTGCTCTGGACACAAAATGGGGCAGGGAACCCCTGAGCCAGCCTTGAAGGCATCCTTGTTTCCCACGCTCACCCTCTGTTCCAAGCTTAGGATGAGCTCGCGGTCCAGCTGGCTCTGGTGGATGGAGGCAGCCAGGGCCAGGTGGGAGGCCTCTACCTCCTTGTTGAGGACGGCGACAATATTCTCAAACACGCGCAGCTTCCCCTCCAGGTCGGCCAGGAGCTTCTCCTTCATGAAGTGCTGCAGGGCCAACTCCTCCTGGCTCTCGGAGCAGGGTGCCCGGTAGCAGTCCACCTCCAGGTCCCCAGCCACCTCCACGGCTGCTTGCAGCTGCAGGTCTGATAGATTCCGCTCCAGGGCCATGGGGCCTGAGCCCAGGCCTGAGCCCAGCTGGGCCTTCCACTGTTTCATGAACTCCAACAGCAGGTTTAGGTGGGTGGCCTGAGAGGTGACCTCATGCTCCTGCATGAATTTTGCGCTCCCCTGCCAAGAGAGTGGGGCTGATCAGCGAAAACAGAGAAGGTTCCCAAAAACAGTCAGATCCATTCACCCAGCAAAGGGGAAGCTGCTTTGTGTGCAGTGACAGGGATTTGGAGAACTGTGACGTCAGACATGCTCACAGTGAGCCATGCCCCCAGGCCTCTACCATGATTTATCCCTGTCTTTGAGAGCCGTGATGATTCAGGACCATGGAGAGAGGCATGGGGGGGGGGCGCTGGGGATTGGTCATTTTAGCGATGCCTACAATGCTAAGAGACATTAAGAACTCTCCTGAGTACAGAAATGATTGACTAGTGGGATTTGTTGTTTGAGAAGGTCATTGATGTAAGGGACATCCAGAGGAGTAGCTTGATGTTGTGTGAAAATCCTGGAGGGGCTGAAGTGGGGAGACCCAGTGGCCTAGGGCTGCAGTAGACAGATGTCCTTTCTCTCGCAGATGCTTACCTTGAAGGAGCAGCCAACACCTGCAAAGGGGCACCCAACTCCATCTGCAGCCACCTCAGGGTGATCCTGGAAATAACAATGTCATTGATGTTATAGGCATCCTCATGGGGCCACTGGGCTCTCTACAAAGCACTAAGATTCAACAGGGCACATGCTGGGCTGGGCCACAGGACTCTGCACATGCTGGTCCTTCTGCCTGGCTGACCCCTTTCGTGATCCTCATTCAAAACAGGCTCAGGGCCTCTGCTGAAGTAGTGGGGCTGCTTCTCTTGTCAGGACAGGATCCGCAAAGCACCATTCACTCTTCAGTTGCACCCACTGGTCTGGGGGCTCTGTGAGGCTGTGTTCCTAGTGCCGAGGGCAGGGCCTGGCACAGAGGAGACACTCGGCTGCATGAGTGAGCACCTCCCTTCTCCTGAAGCCCATGGGGGTGCTCCTCACAGTTGCCACCCGCATCCCTTCTTGGCAATCCACCTTGGCCGAGGAGTGCCTGCCCTGCACTGCCCTCCTTCGGGATAATACGAAGCCTAAGGGCAGGGACACAGAAGGGTCTTAGTACTTAACAGCAACTTGACCAAACTGCTAACCTACTTACAGGTCCAAGGAGCTTACAAAATGCTTTTGTGGTGATAATTCTCCCCAGGGCCCCTGACAATGCTGTGGGGAAGGCGGGGTAGGTATTTTGTTCCCATTTTACTGATGAAGAAACTGAGGCTCACAGAGGGCAAGGGATTTGCCCAAGGAGGAATGGCTAGGAAGTAGCATAGACACAGACTCTTTCCATATCATATCACTACAGTTGAACCCTGAAGAGCATGGGTCCATTGATACACAGATTTCCCCCCAATAAATACCAGTGCTGTTTTTGATCTACAGTTGGGAATCCATGGATGCAGAGGGCTGACTGTTTGCACCGATCTGCACTGTTTTACAGAGGGGACTTGAACACCTGTGGATTTGGGTATCCATGGGGAGGGTGGTGCTGGAACCAATGTTCTGAAGATGTTGAGGGACAGCTGTAGCAGTTAAGTTTTGGGGCAACCAAAAGTTATGCACAGATTTTCTGTTGTGTGTGCCCTGGGCTGGTGCCCTGAACCCCTGCATTGTTCAAGGATCAACTGTATCTCATATCAAGAGTAAGCCCATGGGGAACTGGGAGAAATATTATTTCCCAAAACACATATCTGGAAAGGCCTTGTATCCAGAATACGTGAAGAACTCTTTCAATAGTAATAATAAGACAAAACAGCCTAATAAAATGGGTAAAATACTGAACAGGTGCTTTACATAAGGAGATATATAAATGACAAGCCTATGAAAAGATGCTCAACATCACTAGTCAACAGAGAAGTGCAAATCAGAATGAAATATCACCATGAAACACTGTCATCTGTTCACTAGATGGCCAAGACGCAAAAAGAATACCAACACTAAGCTTTGTGAGGATGTGGAGGAACTGGAACGTATGAATGTTCCTGCTAGTGGGAAGGCAAAATAGTACAGCCACTTTGGGTAAAAAAAACACACACAAAAAAACCTATGGAAGTATCTCATAAAATTAAATCATACTTACAAAGCAACTTACTTATAAACCATGCTTAGAGTTACCATACAAACCACATTGCACTCCTAGGAATTTACCCAAGAGAAACGGAAACATATGTTTACGTGCGTATGTGAATGCTCATAGCAGCTGTATTCCTGATGGCTCCAAATTGGAAGCACTCCAAATATCCATCATCTGGTGAATGGACAATGGTGTTTTTTTTTCTTTCTTTTTCTAGGACACTCCTCAGCAATCAGAGGGACTAAAACACTACATGCAATAATGAGGAGGACCCTCAAAACATTATGCTAAATGAAAGAAGTCAAACACAAAAGACAGCAACTATGATTCCAGGCTTATAAGATTCTAGAAGAGGCAAAACTACAGTGAAGGAAAGTCTACCCATGGCTGCCTGAGGCTGCTGCGGAGAGACAGATGAGCCAGGGGCATGAGGAAGCTTTTTCTGGTGCAGAAAAGAAGAATTCACTATCCTGACTGTAGTCGTCACACAACTGAATAAATTTACTGGCATTCATCAAACCATACGCTTGTACTGAGTGGATTGTATTGCATATAAATAATATCTTGATTTTCAAAGAGCTTTGCTGTTTTGTTTTTTTTTCCAAGAATAATCTAATGGGGCAAAATGGAAATTTGAATTTAAAAAAGGGAGGAGGACAGAGGTCTTTGGGGTTGAGCAAGTACAAAGCCACATGACTTATTATTCTTTAAAAGTAAAAGAAGCGAGAGTCCTGGGCTTAATGAGTATGGTTGGCTTAGAACACAAAGCACAGCCCAGCAAAGGGCCACCCCCCTTGGCCCCACTTCCACAGGGTTCAAGCACAAGATGTTCCTAACAAGGAATAGAAAACAGATGTTTTATTGGGGGCGTGGGCAGAGGGCAGCCTTGGCAGGGAGACAGTGCCGGCGCTGGGAAGTGTACAATGACGCAGCTCTCCCAGCAGGTAGCTTCCTGACCCGTGGGCACAACAGAGGGACTCATGCTCGGCGTGGACCTGGTTATGGTGAATGGACTCGGGGAACCTCTCAGGCCCTAAAATACCCTCCAAGTCCATGATTTGAGTCCTCTGCCATTCTAAGCCGGGAGTGAGAGCCATAGGAGGGGGACAAAAAGGTGGAAGAGATAAAACGGGGGAATTCCAGAATCACCACCCAGATGGAGGGGCACCTGTCCTTTTGTCGGCGGAGCCAAAAGAGGTGTTGTGTAGTGCAGGGGAAAGCCCGGCCCAGGTGGATGCAGGGGGCGTCCTTGTTATGCTGTGTGGATGGGTGTGGGCTGTGACCAGCCTGCAATGGCTGTCAGAGGATGGGCAGGGGTGACCTGAGAGGCCTTCAGAGGCCCCAGTGGCCCGCCAGTCTGCCTACAGTTCCATCATCGGTTAGTCACTCATTCCGTAGAGTGCTACTGAAGTTAAAGGGGCGGCCTCTGGAGCCAGCCTGTCAGGGTGCCAAGCACATCTCGGTCACGAGCAGTGTGGCCTTGGTAGACTATCCACCTCTCCACGTCTCACTTTCCTCTTCTGCAAAATGGGGATAATAAGAGTACCCACCCCCATAGACTTATTGTGAGGGTTACATGAGATGGCAAACGTAAATTCTGGTCTCACTTACATATTGCTACTATAATAAAATGCCACAAACTTCATAGATTAAAACACACACAAATTTATCATCTCACAGTTCTGTAGATCAGGAGTCCTAAACATCAAGGTGTCAGCAGGATTGTGTTCCTTCGGGAGCTCTGGGGGAGAATCCGTTTCCTTATTCTTTCCCAGCATTTAGAAGCCACCTGCATTTCTTGGCACATGGCCCCTTCCTCCCTCTTCAAAGCCAGCAGCCTCTTCCCATCTCTCTCTGACTCCCTCTAGCTTCCCTCTTGTGGTTACACTGGAACCACCTAGGTCAGTGGTTCTCAACCTTCCTAATGCCGCGACCCTTTAATACAGTTCCTCATGTTGTGGTGACCCCCAAGTTCATTGTTACAAATTGAACATAATTAAAGCATAGTGATTAATCACAAGAACAATATGTAATTATATATGTGTTTCCGATGGTCTTAAGTGACCCCTGTGAAAGGGTTGTTCGACCCCCAAAGGGGTCATGAGCAGCAGTTTGCTGACCACTTCCCTAGATAATCCAGGATAAGCCCCTCATCTCAGGATCCTTAACTTAATCACATCTGTTCTGGGCTGAGTTATCTCCTCCCAAACCAATTCTTACGTCGAAGTCCTAACCCCCCAGAACATGACTATATTTGGAGATAGGGCCTTTAAGGAGGTCACTGAGTGAAAGTGAGGTCATTAGGGTGAGCCCCAAGCGATATGACGGGTGTCCCTGTAAGAAAAGATTTGGACACAGACGTCCAGAGGGAAGACAATGTGAAGATAGGGAAAAGGGATGACATGGGCATCTCCTGGCCGAGGAGAGAGGCCTCTGAAGAAACAAACCCTGTCTGGAACATCTTGCCTCCAGATCTGTGAGAAAATAAGTTTCTGTTGTTCAGGGCCTCCAGTCTGTGGTACTTGGTGATAGCAGCCTTCGTAGACTGATATAGCCACATAAGGCAATGGATTCATAGGGGTTATTAACATGTGGGCATCTTTGGGGAACATCATTCTGCATAGTGTAATACTCAATAAATGTTAGCCATTGTTATTATTATTAGTAATATTCCTGTGGATTAAGCACTGCCCTTGGGACCTTTTTTCTCCCTCTGATGGCTGTCATATATACATGCATTTCATTTAATCCTCACATCTCAAACTTTTGATAACGAATTCTATAAAACACCATTTCCCCATTGCATTTCCTCGAGGAGGTGAGGAACATCCCTAACTGTATTTGCATTTATACAGAACCAAAGCATTTTTGCAGCTCTCATAGGATCCCTGTAGTCATCCTTTGAGGCAGGCAGGGTGAAATGACCTTCACCTTAACACAGATGGGAAACTGGGTGACTGGCTTGCTCAAGGCCTCACTGGGCTTGCACACTTTGAGTAGGTGGCTGACTTCAGGTCTTCTGTCCCATCATTAGACCTTGTGAGGGCTTGCTGCTTTCTCGCACCTGTGTGAGCATCGCCCGTCAGACCTCATGTACCTTGAGGAGGAGGCTGGGGCTTGATTCTGCTTCTCCTGTGTAAGTGGAGGAGCCAAAACTCAGGGACAGGCAGTGACTTGCAGGAGGCAATGCAAGTTTGGGGCAAAGACAACGTGGAGGTCAGGGGCCTGGAGTCCATGTCCAGGATCCTTCCTCTACACCAGGAAGTCCTTGCCTTGTCCAAAGGGTGGCCTCACCTGAAGGCTGGGGGCTTGAAGAAACAGAAAAGGGAATCAGGCTGGGGTTGCAGACGAAGACCGGGGCATCTGTCCGGGGCCAAGCCTGGGGTATGTCCAGTGCCACAAGCGGTCCCTGTTAGTGGCCGCATGCTTCAAACTGCTAAAAATAAAACCCACAGTGGAATTTCCTCTGAGGAGGAAACAGAAACAGAGAAAACAGAACCCCAGCCCTGAGGGAACACTCGTCCTTCTGTCTGCGTCCGGGAAGTCTGTGGGTCTGTGGTGTTCCTCGCCACCCTGCTCACCCGGGCCGTCTGCGACGGGGTCAGCGGAGGGTTCTGTTGAGAGGCCCCCACTCAGGGAGCCACAGGCCTCCAGGAATGTGAGCATTAGGGGGGGTGCCTGCCAGGAGCATGAGAGCCGCCTCTGTGAAGCCTACTGGACACAATAGAGGATCTGCCGCGTGCCAGGCCTGGGCCGCACCGCTGCGCTGGCACAAAGGCTACCTGAGGTCTTGGATGACTGGAGGGGTTGCTTTTGCTCAGGATTCGGCTGGTGTTGAGGGAGAGGCACGCTACTGTGACAGGGCAGACCCCGTCAGTCTGCCTCTGCCCGCCAGGCCTGCCTTCCTCTGCACCTGGGCCAGCTTCCTCTCTGGCAACCTCTGCTCAGCTCGACTGCCACCTCTTCTAGGAAGCTCTGCATGATTTTCCTAGTTGAAAGTAGCCTTGCCCATTGCTGTTTTTCCAGCACTTAAGGCTGACTGTGGGGTTTAACCCTGCCTAGCACATTTAGGGTGGTCTGCCACAGAGGCAGCAGAGGGAAAGATGCCACCAGCCTAGGAAGCAGGAGTCAGAGCCTGGCTTTGTTTCCCTCTTGCTCCATGACGTTAGCCCAGGCACACCTCCTCATGGATCCTCGATATATCACCAATATTCACACAGGATATCACAGGATCGATGAGGTTACAGATGCAACCGCCAAGCTCAGCAGTGTAAGGGTTCAGGGGTTCATTTCTACACATCACACTTCAAAGGACACACATGCAGAGACAAGGACAGACTCAAGGGGTGCATGGCCAGCACTTCTCCACATATGCAGACTGCCTCACAGGACAGGAGGCTGGTGGCCTTAAGGGAGACAGACTTCAGGTCACTACAAACAAAGAGGAAAATGGAGCAACAGTCAGAGCCCCCCCAAGAGTGGAAGAGGTCATCATGTCTTGGAGTAATGAGCTCCCCATCACCGGGAGGATATAAAGCCACCTGGCAGGAATCCAGTACAGCACAGACACCGCACTAGACAGCTTGCCCCCCTCTCATTTTCTGATTCTAGAATAAGTTAAGGCATTATTGTAAGCCACTGGCAACAGTTGCCAGCTTGCTTTTGACCTTGAGTGGCTTCAGAGGGAAGAGAACGAGAGAAAACACTCCATTCACGGCTCAGACGCAGTGAGAATTAAATGTTATTTTCCATCCACCGGCTGTCCCCTATTCACTGTCACTTCTACAGGAAGGTCATTCCAGGCAAGAACCAAGTCTCTAACTAGGTCAATAGTAATCCTTTAATATCTGCTTCTTATATTACCTAATGGGTCCAGGGCTGCAAGCACTCCTTAGAGAGATATTAATCTAATGAAGTCAGAGGATGAGGACAAAGTGATAAGCAGATGGCATGGAAAGTGTTTGCAAGAATGGGTGCCTCTGGGCTTAGCTCAGCTGGTCTCCGGTCCAACCCTCCCACCCACCTCCATTCCCCAGGTTTCCCCAGATGCACAGACAAACTTCCCAATGACCACGCATGCAAAGTATTGACTTATAATCAGCTGCTTTCCTTTGGTCAAAAGTCCCCCAAAGTTCCCATCAGGGACAGGAGCTGGAGGAGTCCCTAGTCTTTCCACTAGGTGGCTTTGGGTGGTGGTGGTGGTCAGACCACTGGCTAACCCCGCTGCCCTGCAGCCTTCCACTGGGGTTGCAGTGATGATGGCTTCAGGAGGGGGAAGTAGGGGGCGGGGAAACCTGGGGAATGGAGGTGGGTGGAAGGGTTGGACCGGGGACCAGCTGAGCTAAGCCCAGAGGGAGAACCTTGCTGCTCAGAGGCCTGCCTGCCCCCAGTTGTGGGCAGTACCCCCTCCTACCCTGTTGCCTGATACAGTGCCTGTAATTCCACCATTAGAGCCACTTCATTTGGTTTAAGGCAGCAAGTTTCAAACTGTGCTTTGCAGGCCCCCTTAGGAATCCCCAGTCCCTTGGGGGCTGGGCAGCTGGGCTGACTAAGAGGACAGGGTTCCAGACTACTCTTTAGTCACAGCACTTCCACTGTCATTTGATTTCACGTTAACAAAGACAGATAAATTACAGCCATTGAATTAAGAGATATGAATGCACCTCTTCTCTATATTATCTAAGAGTTGTACAATGCCGGTGTATTAATTTTGTTAAGAGGTCAGAATAAACCATGTTAAAAACAATAGCCCTGGAGCATTCAAGCAGGCAGGGGCCTCAGGAAGCTTCCAGCCCTGCCCTTCCTTGTGCAGGGGAGGAAGGCAGCCACAGAGCTATGGCTCTGCTCACGCCTTTCATGGTTAGTGCACCAAGATGCCCAAACAGGGAGGCTCCGGAAGTTATTCCATGGATCCATTTGTCCTATAAGCTCGCAGTGCTCTGTAGACTGTAAAGTTCTAGGAAAATGCAGTGGATCCTTACTAAGATTTTCCCTTGAGCGCCTACAGGGCGGGGCTGCTGAGAAGGGGATGGGAGGGCCCTCAAAACCAGCTCTGGGCAGGGCAGGAAATTCTCCTAACCCTCTGACTGAGGGCTCAGAGAGGAGTAGGGAGGGAAGTGTGGAGATTCGCATGCCTGCCTCGGGTTCCTACAGGTGGGAGGGAAGATACCTGACGTCACAGGTCCTGGAAAGGTCTTGCAGAGCAAACATGGCCGTCATTTTACAGACGGAGAAACAGGCACAGGAGTCTTCTTGGCCACAAACTGAATAGAACCATCTTGAGCATCGCTGAACATCAGGCTCGTGGGCTGCGGTTCAAGGCAAGGGGGGGAGCCTTGGCTGAAAGGAGCCGGGGCCTGTCTCACAGTGAGGACGACTGAGCAGTGAGGCCCCGGTCGCCCGGGAGCTTTGCACTGAGATGCCCCAGTGGGTATCGGGGCCTCATGTGTACGATGAGGCAGTTAGATTTAGAGCAGTGCTTCTTTACATTCTCACAGCTTTGGATTCATGAATCAATACAAGTTTCGTTTTAATTCGAAGATTAACATAAAGATTGCCATCTTTTATTTTACCAAGTAAAGACTTGACCAAAAATTCTATCATTTACTCTCACTCTCATTTCATTTCTACAAAGACATATATAGGAAGAGCATAATCTCAGAGTAAAGGTTGATTCTATAAGTGGAAAGAATCTAATTTTATAAAAACCCCACTACAATTTCCATATTTTTATCATTTTGTCAGAAGTGGTGGGAATGGACCAGCTCTGGTCAGCATGGGAACCTCTAGGCCGGACAGATGACTAGTGAGGGTCCTTCCAACCCAGAAGGACTGGGGTTCTAAACTGGGGGGCCTGAGAATGTCTCTGGCCCCTCACACTCTCAAGGCCATCTCTATACTTAGGAGCATGGCTTTGTTTCCCTCTTGCTCCATGACATTAGCCCAGGCACACCGCCTCATGGCTTGGCTGAACCACAGAGGGGAGCTGAGAACGGCCTCGCCTTGTCTGAGGGCAATCAAGGGCAAGAAGAACTGTCTAGATCAAGAGTTGGCAAACTATTTCTGCAAAAGGCCAGAGAGTAAATATTTTGAACTTTGAAGCCTGTGTTGCACTAGTCACCTCTGCTGTCACAGGGTGAAAAGCAGCCACACACAATTCATAAATGAGTGGGTATGGTTGTGTGCCAATAAAACTTTACTTATGGACATGGAAATTTGAATTTCATATCATTTACACGTGTCACAAAATATCATTCTTCTTTTGATTTTTTTTTGACTATTTAAACTATAAAAACCATTCTTAGCTTATGGCTGTATAAACACAGGTGGCATGCTGGATGTGGCTTACAGGCCGTAGTTTGCAGGCGCTTGGGTTAGACTGTTGTTCTCACCCCAAATCTGTCACAGATAAGCCAGGTGGCCAAGGGCAAGTTGCTTCACCAAAGCATTGTCCGTCCCCTCGCTGCTTATAAACCAAATTCAGTCTAACTCGAGACAAAGAGGGAGGCGCCAGCTGGGACTGGGGAATGGCTGTCTACTTAGCCTCAACCTCAACAGATGGAGAAAATGGACAAATACCCTTTCCTGGCTGTGTCAACATACCTTCTCCTGAGACATAAGGCTCCCCGGGCTTACAGATTGGGAATCGTCTCCTCTGCACTTGGGACAGACCCGATCCTCGCCGTTCCTAGAGACATACACAAACAAATCCGGCTGAGTGCAGCATTCACAATTCCCTGGCACCAACCTCTGTCCTGATAGCTCCAAAAGCCCGGCCGTGCCCAGCCTGGTGCCCGATACCAGTGAGCATGCAGGTCCACAATCCCAGACCCACCATTGCCAAACCTCAAAGCACTGGGCACCCAGTGTCTTTCCATAGATTGCAGTGAGCTTCTTTGGCAGCCAAACCTGACCTGCCTGAAGTTACTGGCGGCTATTCTAACCCTTATCCCACTTAGTGTGAATATTAATGTTTCATTGCAGAAACATTAATGGGCTTGATCATAAGGTGCTGCCCCAACCCCACTGGAAGAACTATGCAGTGATGCACTGACTTGCTTTTCTGAAATCTGAAAAAATTTTGAATTCCAAAATGCACCTGAGCCAGGGCTTCAGGTGTGGCTACATTTGGTCTTCTCAGATTCTTCTGTTTGGTTTAGGTCTCTCTGTCTTAGGAATTACAGATGGCCAGGGCCGATTAGAACAAGAAGGGGCCTCACAGAGCACTAGCCTGAGGTTCTCTACCAGGAGCGGATGGTCGGATGACACATGGGCCTATGGGCTTTTACAAAGCTCCCAAGTAATTCTGATCCACAGTCAGAGCCACCGGTCAGGCCCTAAATGTGAGACCTCAGAGGACATGTGGATTGGCCAAGGAGAGGCAGAGTCAAGAGCAAAGCTCCTTCCCCACCTCTGCCCAGTTTTGGAATAATGGGGAGGGAGGCCAAGAGGCCCAGTTCAAAAGCCTGAAATGAACCCACAACAATCAGCTTAATGGTAAAACCAGCCAAGCTTTGACCAACCCACCCCCACACCTGGCCTTTCCACGGTCACAACCTTTCCCCTCCCTCTGCATCAAAGCATTTGAATTTCTCAAACTAGACTGATTCAGCTTTCCCACCTTCTTAAGCTGTAAAACTCCAGACAAAGGTCAAGTTGAGGGTGTATGACAGTTAAAGAGCACTTTTGCCAAGAAATTGAACCAGGACAAGTTGATCTATTCTCTCCATTACGCCTCACTGTCCTCATCTGTAAAATGGGACAATAACAGTATCCACTTTTCCAAAGCTCTTCTGAAGACCCAAGGAAAGAGGCACATAGTGGGCTCAAACTGGTGGGATGCTGATGATCATATGGATGTCACACCTATCTGAGTTACTGATATTTTAAATATGTAAAACATATATTTCTGTAAGTATATATTCATATATAAATATATACATAGTCAACTATATATATTCATACAGGGGTGGGCAAAAGTAGGTTTACAATTTTCCCACTCCTATATATAAATATATCATCTATATATACATACATATATAAATATAGATATCTTTGCTCCCTTTAAAAGTGTTCTCAGCAAACAATACAAGATGATGGGTGATATTGTGGAAGGAGATATATCTGTATAGCAGTTCATCATTTACTAAGAAAGTTTATATTCATTATTACAAAAACTTTTTGGAATATTATTGATTGTGCCTCTTAATCCTGGGAGATAGAAAGTAGCTTTACAGGAATTTTACAGACAAGGAAGCTGAGGCTGTGAGGCATGAAACACCCAACCTCACAGTAAATAAGGAGCCCAGCTGGGCCTGAGGCTCTCCCCCACCCTGGACAGCCTTCAGCTGTGGCAGCTGACATCTGTCTGTGGCTACTTCTTCCATCAAGATCAGAAGCGACAGTGTCAGGGACTACAAGGAGAGGGTGTGGAAACTGAGGCCCAGAGAGGTGAAGTCACCTGCTCAAAGCCACTGGCTCCTCTCACCCTTGTCTCCCATCAGGGGTCCCTCCCTGGTACCTTCTTCCCACTCACTCTTTGCTCCTGTGACTCCTCACCTCAAGTTCTCAGAGAGACAGGCGGTGCAGCAGAGGGCCCTGGGCTCTGGTGGGTCCTGGCAGACGGTGGGAGGGCACCCAAAGGGAAACTCGTTCTCATCAGGGGCTGGGCGGGGGCTGCTGGCTGAGCCAGAGGCCATCCCGGGCTCCCAGGCTGGCCAGGAGCCCGACTAAGCTCCTCTGGGGAGGGAACCAGCCCGTGGAGTCTGTGCTGAGAGAAGTGAGTTCTGGCGTGGGCCACCCTCTCTGGTGAGCAGGAGTCTGATGACTTTATCTTCTCGCTGACTTGTGTGGTTCAACGTCACAGCTGAATCACAACAGGGATGGGGCAGGAATTACCCTCTGTGGTGAAAAAACCCCCTGGATGCTGGCTGAAGGCTCTAGGAGTGCCCAGTCATTCTTTAGAGTGACAGAGAGCAAGAGAACGAGTCAGAGAGAAAACACAACCATGTCACACACTTTCAGGAACCACAGTCAGAGTTCCCCCATCAAAGAACCTCAGCCTGCCGCTCGCTTCCTCCCTGTCTTCCCCAGGGGACATGGGCAGAGAGACGCAGCTGGTGACTTGTCTGTGTTCCCTGCGACCTCCCAGAAGCCTGGAATTCTGGGTGGGGGTGCTCACTGCCCTGGTGGAAATCCCTAGGTCCTGGTGGCAGGTCCAAAAATGCAAGTTCCAGGCGCTCAATCTCTGCCCTCTCCAGTGTCTCAGGCAAAAGTCACTTCCTCACAGTGGGTCTCGGTTACCCCGTCTGTAAAGAAAGGAGTTGCAACAGGTGGTCTTCAAGGTTCCTCTAAGCGCTGAGATTCTGGAACCTTAGGGCCAAGGCAGCCAGAGGTAGCAGGAGGCTTCTGATGGCCCTGCCCCTGGCACTCCTCACCAGTCTTGATGACAACACAGGGCCCTCCTCTCCTTTCAAGTCCAAGGCTTCAGAGCCATACACTGCTCAGGGCGCTCCTCAGGGCCCCACTCAGGAAGTCATAGGTGGCCACATACCCCGGTCAGGCACTACCACTTCCCGGCCCTGACAACAAAGCTCTAAATAAATACAAGGCCACGGGGGATTGGTCTCAGCGGCCAAGTATGATGCAGATCCACTGTTGTGTGGGAACTGTGGCTCCTGGTGCATCTACTATGGGCAGGGCAACATTTTCCTTCCTATTCCTCAAATCAACCAGCTGGGAATTCTGTGGCCACGTATAGGCACAGAAAAGCAAGATGACTGTCCAAAGTCACACAGCCCCTGGTGGTGGAGCAAGATTCGCAGCAGGTCTGTGGGACCACACGCAATGTGTTCCTTCATCCATACAAGAGAGATGACAGCAAGGGAGTGGGGGAGTCTACAGAGTCGAGGATGGAGGCCAGAGTATCCACCCTGTTTTTTCACCTAACAAATGGAAAAGAGGCTTCCTTCACATCTTTCTATCCTGTTGGGCTGCTACTGGGGACTTTGCAAATTTTTTATAATGGTTCCAAATCATGAGCTTTGAGGTCTAATAACTCTGAGCTTAGATCTTAAGTCTACTATTTACTAGCTGTGTGTCCTGGGACAAGGTCTTTAACCTCAGTTTCTGCATCTGTAAAGTGGGGATAATATTAATACCAACTTCACCTGACTGTTGTGACTAAATGAGATCATAGGTGAAAGTATGCATAATGCATAGCCCAGCTGAGGTGCTCAAAAGGTTTTGACACTGTCTCCCAATAATGGTCATAGCCCCCACCCCCATACCCGCCCCCCACCTCCCAGCTCCTCACAATCAGGGGAGAGGATTAAAATGGTAAGTGCTAATATATAGTGTTTACACATCCATCAACTTTATTTGAGCCTCACAAGTGGGCAAGGCAGGTCAGATGTTGTCCTCTGACCCGAGATAAATACAACTGCCCACTTTCCCTGGGGCAAAACTGGGGCTACCAAGCTGCTGGTAAAGAGGGCATGGCATACTAGGACCTCCACCCTCCCCTGGGCCAGCCCTGGCCTGGTCCTCTCAGCAAAAGACGTTGAGGCCTACGTCAGACAAGACTACCAGAAAGACACTCCCTTAACCGCCTACCACAAACCCACAAACTTCCCTGCATCCCCACCTATCTCCTTCCCTTGGTTTGACAGAGACAGCTACCCAAGACTTCTCTCCCATCCAAGACCTGGGTCCCTTTCTGCCTCATCCCTTTTCTCTCCCCTTTGTCTTCAATGCCTCCCTCTCTACCAGCTCCTTCCTATCAGGATCAAACTATGCATCAGCTGCTCTAATAATAAGAGCGAAAAATATTAAGTACTACTTTTTAGTGCTGTGTGAAGTACTTTTACAGGCACCATCTCATCTTCACACGAACCCTATGAGGCAGGTATTGTCATCATTACCTCCGTCTTACAGATGAAGGCACAAAGAGGGTAAGTGACGTGCCCAAGGTCTAGGGGAGAGTGAATGGGGACTTCTGCACCAGAGCCTGTGCTCTCACCACACACAGTGCTTTGAAATGCTCTTCGCCCTCACCCCAAATTCTCTCCTGCACCCACTCTCCTCGCTTTGACAGAACTGGAAAAGGTTGCCCACACAGGTGCTCCACTGTCTCACTGCATCTCCATGGAACCATCTCCTCCAGGTTCTCAATGTCAAAGTCGCCAAGCGCCCTGGGCCTGCCCCGGTTCTCATACAACCAGGCCTCTGGCCAGCACCTGACATGCCTCGGCTCCTCCCTTAGAATTCTCTTCCTTTCCGAACCTCCATCGATTCATCTCCATGCCTCTACCGAGATCCTCACATGCGAGGTCTCTCTGCGCCGTGTACTCCCATCTCCCCAGTCTTCCAACTTGTCTTTCGGGGGCCCACCTGGACCAGACCCCACTTTCTCTTGGAGTCTCCATAGGCTGTCCCCAGGATGGGGCTAGACACCCGCCTTAGCGAGTCCATCGCGTCCCGCAACCCCCGGAGCCTATGTGTCCCCAGCTCCGTTCGCTCCCGACCTCCGGGCAGGTGACTGTCATCTCGCCACCGCCACCTCTCCAGGTGAGCTCGCAGCAGAGCAGCGCCCGCGACTATCAAGGATGAGCGAACCCCAGGGGTGCCCGGGAGCCCGCAGGAAGGGCTGGGGAAGCGGGTCCCGGCCGCGCGTGAACTAAAGGACACTGAAAGAGGAGATAGAGGAAGACATAAACAGATGGAAGAACATACCGTGTTCACCCTCGAACGGGAAACTGAGGCCCGGGAGGGGGGCTACTGCGTCGCCCTGTTCTCCCACTGGGGACTGACAGGCTCCCGCGCCCCTCCTCCCCTCTCCGTGCTCCGGACTCAGTACAGTGTTCACAGAGTAAACGAATCCAGACAGGCCTGGGGCTTGACCCCCATGCCCTGCCTGCCCGCCCGAAACCCCGCTTGGAGATGGGCTGAGCAGAACCGAGTCTTGCCCTCTTGGGTTCCTGCAAAGAGCCCAGCACAGTGCCAGGCTCTCCAGGCCTATTGGGTTGGTACAGTCAGCAAGGCTGGTACGAAGAGGTTGGAAGGCAGGATGCTTTACAAAACTGGGCGTCTTCAGGAACCACTTCTGTTTCTGTCTAAACACACACAGTCACTCATTCTCTATGAAGCTGTGTGTATCAATCAAAATAGTTACGGAACTTAGTATTGGGATAGAATTTTTGTTTATAAGAGACAAACAACTTATATTTTCGAGAATTTGACAAAGCTCCTTCTCCATCAGACCTCTAAGGTCTGTCTGCAGGACTGTCAGCTGAAGGAGTGAGGCTGCCTATTTTGTTGGCTTTGTTTTATTTTAGTTACTCACAGGCACCCATTACATTCTCTTTATGTACTAGAGGCCCATTTTTTTTGTCTTGACACTCAAATGGAGTTGCGAACTGTGTTTTAGTTTTTTGGTTGTGTGAGTGTGAGTGTGTGTGTGTGTGTGTGTGTGTGTGTGTGCGCCTGTGAGAGAGAGAGAGAGAGAGAGAGAGAGAGAGAGAGAGAGAGATTGAGTTTAAATCTGGGAAGTATGTAAGCCTCCCATCCAGGGTAGAGCTTCTTCCAGCTTCTGATGGGGAAGCTGATGCTGCAGGACAGAGTCCGTCTGGGGAAAGGAGGGCTTCTGGGTCCTCCCTGGAGGGCAGACATCTGCTCTGGACAAGCAGAGGACCTCGGGGACCTCCATCATAGGCAATCTGTGGGAGGGTGACCAGAGGTGGCCCCAGCTGTGAGGCTGCAGAAATCGAAAGCCAAGAGAAAAGAAGGATTCAGAGTTTTGAGTCTCTGATTTAAAAATTCATTCTTAGCCCACTTCATGAAGGATTTGGGATCTCTAAAGGCCATTCGCTGGTCCCACTTCTCTCCCACCCACCCCTTCCTCTCTGCCCCAAGCCAGTGTAAGTGAACAGGCAACCTGACCTCACTCTTCATGTGCCACATCCTGTTTTCAGATTAATGAGCTCATTTGGTGGAAATTTACCAAGGGAAATAGTTTAATTTTGGAAAGTACCAAAAACTTATCTGTAGTCACTTGGCTTATTTTGGGGGGCTCTTGAAGTAGAGGGGGCATCACCAGGGGACCTCTGAGTGTTCAGGGAGCCGTGAGGCTGCAGAAATCGAAAGCCAAGTCTCACGGGGCTGAACCTGACTCAGAAAGGAAATGAAACCCTTTGGAGACCACTCATCTCCACCCAGGGGAAAAATTATTTTTCCAAAAATAGATTTAAAAAGAAAATTAGTCCATCTGGCTAAGGCCTAACATCTGGTGGTCTGAGCATGGGGCCACGAATGAGGAACAAGAAAGCAAAGCCAGGGAAGTAGGGCGTGCTGGAGCCTCAGCAGTCCTTTCATATTCATAACTACTCTACCTTCAAAGAGGCACCAAAAGGCTTCCATTTGCCAGTTTTGCCCAATCCTTTATCCATTAAGCTTGACATTGAATTTGCCTGCTTAGCCTTTTCAGCTTCTGGCTCCTGCAAGGAGCTAAGGACTGAATGGCCAGGAGGACTTGGATATTAAAATTTTGTAAGCCATTCTTTATTGAAGATGGTAGAGCACATGTGATTGGCTCCTAAGTGTCTGACCACCTCCTGGCTTGCTATATTTCCTAGAGTAGAGATTTTTTAACCCTTTTTCAGATGCAGAATAGAAAACTGGTGATAACTGGTAAGGTCCTGACAATTTAGTACTGGGATGAAAGGAATTGTGTCTTCCTTCACTCTGCCCCTCCCCCCCCGCCCCGAAATATGTGGTGATATATTGGAGGCTATCCTATCTAATAAAAGAGAAACATGGTAATTGGCGTATGACTGCTACCCTTCCCATTGGCTAATCAGGGCAATATGCAAATTAACTGCCAGCCAAAATGATGGC